AGATAAGGTCAAAGGATACATCTCTGCCACCCATCTTGTCTAATTTTGAACCACTATCTCCTTGTTCAGTTTGAGCAACTGCCTCTTGATCTATGTTGGGTTCCACATATGCACAATGAAGTGTTCTTGAAGTCCCACTCTTTGTAAAGTTCTCTGTAATTTTCTATTATCTATACAGTTGAATGTTTTCATGTAGTCAATAAAACATAAATAAATATCCTACAGGTATTTTCTACTTTCAGCCAAGATCCATCCACCATCAATAATGATATTCCTTGTTAAATATCCTCTTCTGAATCTGACTTGACTTTCTGATTGTTACCTGTTGATATATGGCTGCAGTAATTTTTAAATTGCCTTCAGTAAAACTTTGCTTATGTGTGATATTATATTGTTCAATAATTTCCACATTCTTTATGATCACCTTTTGTAATTGGGAAGAATATGGATCTCTTCCAGTCAGTTGACTAGGTAGTCATCTTCCAGATTTTTTGGCATAGATAACTTGCACTTGATGATACATCTGTTTGTTGAAACATTTCAACTAGTATTCTCTCCATTCTGGAAGCCCGTTTTTCACCAATGTCCTCAGTGCAGTCTGGACTTCTTCTGTCAGTACTACCGTCAGCCCTTGATCAAATGCTACCTCTTGAAATGGCTGGGCATTGACCAGTTCTTTTTGGTACAGCAACTGAATTCCTTTCAGCTTCTCTAGATGCCACTTGCATTTTTTTTTTTTTTTTGCAACTTGTGGCTTAAATTGCCTGTCTGTTTATATTGTTCCATTTGAAAAAATGGTGATCGTGTTCTTTCCTTTTGATTTTCTAACTCCAGGTATTTGCACATGTCATTACCTGCACCCTGTCTGTTCCAGCTGCTCTTTTGGAATCGTCTGTTCAGTTCTTTTACTTTACCATTTATTTTGTTCATTTTAGCAGGTTTGCACTTAAGAAAAGTTTCAATAAAGAAAAGAAAATTTACGTTTCAGTAAAGAAATATTCTCACAACAGGACTGATAAAGAAAATTGTTGGGAGAGGGGCGTTCCCAACAAATCATCACAGGCCCAGTAGGCGCAATTGTACAGCGATAATAAGTAAAGATTATAGTAAAGTCATCGAGAGCATGAGAGAAGAGAGTTTGGAATAATGGAGTCAGACACAATTCATGGTAGCATGTTCACCTCAGCCCCGCTTGGTCCTTGTGGGGAGAGCCTCGGGAGCAAGAACAAGACAACCCCGACTTTATTGCTAACCAAGGGTTATATCTCCTTAGGGGGGCATGGTTACAGGTAAGCACACATCACAGGAAGGGGCAGTACAATAGGCATACACATCATAGGAAGGGGATATATGATAGGCATAAGCGTGACAGGAAGGGGATGAGCTAGGGTGTGCCCATAGGAATGGGAAGGTCCAGGGGTATACGTGTGACAAGATGGGCAGACCCTAGATTCATGATGGTGGCCTAACCTTGGTCATCCTTGGGCAGGTTTAACCTCTCTGGGGTCTCCTACAAGGAAACAGACAACTATCCCTATCAGAAGGGAGTGGGCCCTACTTGTTGTGGGATAAACAGATGGCTGATAATCCTTAGGGAGAATAATCCCTATCTAGTTCTGATGACCTCCAAGTGTATAGTCATTCAAAAGCAGCTAAGTTTGGTATATATTTGGGGGAGATAACTTGGGAGAAATCCTTCTGTTCCCCATAGAAAATTTTCTTGATAAATTGAAATATCAAAAAAAGAAAACTTCAAGAAATTAAAGTTGTCAAGGATTTCATTTTTTGGATCCATCAACCATCGACATGCATGGATGCAGCAGTCAAGAAACCAAACTATGTGTTGCGTTGGGCAGATAGATCTGCTATATAAAAGATCTCTTTAAAATCTAAGGAAATCTAAGCGCATTGATGACTATACTACACCTGCCACAAACCCCAAAACAAACTCACTGCCATGAGTCCATGCTGGTGACAATCATATAAGACAGGGTAGAACTGCCCCTTTGGGTTTCTGAGACTTTAAGTCTTTATGGAACTCGACCTTTCTCTTAAGAGCAGCTGGTGGGCTGGAACTGCTGCCCTTGCCCACTACACCACCAGGGCTCCTCAATAGAAAAGGGCATTCTATTTGATAAGTACAGGGTTATCAAACATGAGGGAAGCCTGTACTGAGAGGGACTCACACAATACCCCCTGCCCTTCACTAAGCACCCTCTCAAAAAATCAGACTGACCCACCCACTTCTCTGGCCCTTTCCTTCACAATACCTGCCATTGTCTTCTCCACTGCTGGTGGGAACTTCCCCCAGTCAGGTTGTGTCCCTGGGTGCTCAATAAATACTAGATGGTGGTTGAATGCACAGGGACTTTGTGGTGATCCTGAGACCCTCCAATTCTGTGAGCTCTGAATGTTTTCCTTGGATGAAATCCTAAGAGGGCAATCAGTAGACACATCATCTCAGTGTCTGTCTAGTTAGCTGGTGGTACTGTACCAGAGATGGTGCTGTACCAGATATGGTGGTTCTGAGGAACAGAAATTCATTTTCTCACCATTTAAGAGGTTAGAAGTCCGAAACTGGCCTCTAGCTCTGGAGGAAAACTTTCTGTTGATTGTATTCCTGATTTCTTGGAAATCCTTTTACTTCTATGGCTGTTTCCTTGGAAATCTTCATGTGTGCTTGATTCTGTATCTCATCTGACTTTTGATACCTGCAGAGTGATTGGAGTTAGGACTAATAGGGCCTTGTTGACCAAACAAGAGAACCTCGTGACCAAGGAGGGTCACGTCAAAAGATGTGAGGTTTGGATCCCAAAGTATGTTTGGGGACACAGTTCATAACAGTGTCTTGTAGAATTGCCTCTCTGAATTGTACCTGGGAAGAACCCTGGTGGTGTAGTGGTTACACATTGGACTGTGAAACCGCAAGGTCAGCAGTTCAAAACCATCCTCAGAGAAAGACTACGAAGCTTTCTACTCCAAAAAAGAGTTACCACCCCAGAAACCTGTAGGAGCAGCTATAGAGAATAGGCCCAATAGCAGTGAGTTTTGAGACTGGTACACTCTTAGATAAGTTCTCCATCCATTAAAACTATAACCTTAGAAGGATGGTCCTTGTATCTGAAGTAGGGAAGTCTCAAAATCACAGATAGCATTTCCTACTGCACCACCCACCTCATAAAAAAGGCCCTATGAAAGTCTCCTCCTGGCAAAAGACCTTTGAGGGATGGGTTTGTTTTCCCTTTGTGGCCACTGAGAGAGCCGTTTAACTTGTCTCCTGCTATGCTCTGGCCCTGGGATGCTCAGACTTCGAATCCCAGCTGCCAGGAAGGTAAGTGTCAGACTGGAGTCACAGGGTCAGCAGTTCAAACGCACTAGCCACTCATCCTTGGACACATGAGGCAGTCTGCTTGGAAACCCTGAACAGACCAGACATACCTGTCTGAAGGTCACTAGGCCATCTGTGGACTTGGGGTGGGGTTTGGTGTAGGGCTTGGTGGGCTTCCTTCCCATGAGCTGTTTTACCTGTATCTTAATTTCTTACCCATCTCACTCTTTGCCCAGATTCCCTTCTGTGTGTGTTTTATAACACAAGCTTCTTTATTTTCTGTGCACCTAACTCAGCACCTCCCTTCAGCCAGCCTGGAAACCTGTATGTGGGTCTGTTTACAGATGAGGAAACCACGGTTGAACTATTCCACCCAGGGGAGACCTGGGGGACACCCACTGCCATTCAAGGGTCCAGCCCTTTGCCTGCTGCCAAGGTGTAGACAGGAGACGGAGTGATCTGTGCAGGTGTGGACAGGAGGCAGAGGGTGATCTGTGCAGGTGCTGGTGTGGGCACTATCCCAACCTGCTGAGCAGGAGCCTCTATGGGAGGGTCTGGGCCTCCATTTTAATGGGCACCCAATGAAACTCATGTTCCCTCAAGCTTGGCCATGGATCCCTGCCCCCAGGGAGTTCAGGTGGGGAGGGAGGGAGGTGGGGAGACAAGCGGGCAAGGTGATGAGTGCCAGGTGCATACTTGGTAGGGCCAGCCAAAGGGCATCTGATGGGAGCACCAGAAATGCCCCTTGAGGGGGCTGCCCCGAAATGGACTAGGCCTTAACGAAAACACAGAGGTGGCTGTTAGAAGTGGCAGGCAGCCAGTCGTTGAAGTTTGGAACTTTGTAAGACTGTTGAGTGGGCGGTCAGCCTATCAAGTCATGGTCAACCTGCCCAAAGGGGGTCATAACTGCCTCATTGGGGTCAGACCTACGGAGACTTATCTCAGCATAGTCAGCCTGCCTCAGCATGGTCAGACCTATCCCAGCATGGTTAGCCTACCTACCTCAGCGTGGTCAGACCTATCCCAGCATGGTTAGCCTACCTACCTCAGCCTGGTCAGACCT